GCTACGTGGGCATAGCTAGCTGGCCTATTCTCCATGGTGTGTAGCCGCGCTTCTAAGTCTGTGAGCCTCGCCTCCAATGCTGCTAGCATCTGACATTTATTACAAGTACCATTATCGCTAAAGGAGGCAGAGGAATAACTGAACATGCGACACTCCGAGCAAGAGAAAGAAGGAGAGGAAGAGGGGGAAGCCATTGCTCTCGATTAAGCTACTAGCTTAGCTAGCTTCTAAACTAGCCGACCTAAAGTAGCAAGTTAAATTTGGTAGTTAGCAAGAACTTCTGCAAAACAAGTGCTTTAAGTGGTGCAAGCGTATGTTGTCACTCAAAAATTCAGATGAACCTAGAAAATAGTGAGTTTAATTCCTAAACAATCTGGAAGCAAGCACAACGCAGTGCAAATACAGAAAACAGGAAATGAATACGGTTTACCGCAGGAAACAGCAGTCCGTCAAAGGTTCCGCATCTCACAGGACCAAGCATGTCCAATAAGACACATTCCAGACACAGTTTCAAGTCACTTTATGGAAGGTATTAACAAATGCTGTATTTGTGCTTTAGTTTGGAGTTCTTGTTGGAAAAACACCCGTTGAACCAATGAACTGTGGATGTTTACGACGTTAGAAATCCCAGAGAGACCACGAATCTTTATTGTCTTGAAAGCAATTTAATCTGTGCAGATACGCAGCCATTCATCACCACTGGGGGTGCAGGGGGCATGCTTAAAGCAAAATCAATTGAGGAACAAAAGACAGTCAGACAAAAAAATGAGGCTGGTTATGGTTAAAACATTTTTTACAGTATGCCCACTCCCCTCCTCTCTCGTTATTATTCTATTCCAGTCACCAGGCTCTTACTCTATGCAGTGGAGTGCCAATTATTATGGTAATGACTGAAACAGATATCAGATGGGTTTCCCTGGAATAAGCTTTTCATTTTCACACACATCACTCTGTGTGTGTTCCTGTCTGCATGTGTGTTTTAGGGGAATGGAGAGACAGAGCAGCAGCGGGGAGAGTCTGTCCATGTGCAGAATTGAGTTTTTTGACTGTCCCTGGCAAAATCAAATCATTATTGGGGGAAATTCATAGCAACCTGCTCTGCTCATCAGAAACACACGCCTGGGAATACTTTGAACATACATTTGACATTATAGAAGGAGCCAGTGTCAAAAATCGGACACCAGGTGATGACAGTCCTGCTCCAAGGTCATTTTGTTCCTGTTTCATGTCCTCAGACTCTGCAGGATGGTCCGTGTGTTGCTCACCGGGATCCTCACAGCATCGTGTAATGTGTTTTATCAAATGTGTCTGAAAGTCTCAGGGATGAGAATGAAGGTCAGGTTCATTTTGGCAGCTAGTATTGTTAACCTAGATTCACAAAGGCAGAGCTGTGCACATTCTGTTCTATTGTATATTTACACTACCAGTCAAAAGTCTGGAAACACTGTTACAAGCAATGTCACATGAAATTAACAGTCTCTGTCCTCAAAAAGTTATTCTTTTCACCACTTCTATGGTTCTCCACGCTGAAAACCAGGAGATAATTATCTTGCAAGGTCAAAACTTTTGCCAGTTCAGTCAAAACAAGAGCCTTATGTTTTCTAGTTTTGGCTGGATTTGTTAAATGGAAAATGCTTAAAGAACCACGTGTTCCTTCTGTTTTGTGTTTTTGTATAACAATCTCCTTTGTCTGGCATGTTTTCCATTACCCCAAATGGAGACGGTGATCTATTCTGTCAGGCAACAGGTGTACGTGGACAGTCTTAGTGTTCTCTTTCAGTTTACTCTCATTAATTTAACTTGGCCTCTCTCTTTATGTACTGAATCAGCTAATGAGCACAAGAACAAAGAGTTGAACTGGAGTGCACTGGTATCCTGGAACATTTTGTGCACATGAGAGCACATTAGAGGCAGTTTTTGGAACAGGCTAGACCTAATCTGGTTTTAAGCTATCAATCACATTTTAAAACTAAGTCTGTTTTTTCCATTCTGTTCTGACATTTCAGTCCCTTAATCATGTAACCAACATAGTATTAAGAGAGGTGGTAAATGTCAAACGCTTTATTTACATCATGATGTTCATTAGCTGACACCTGCGCTCAAAATAGTAGAGCAGAAATGTGGCTTCACCGAGGTAATCATGCAACACTGAAAGAAACTGCTGCAGAACAAAATGATGGCACTGATGTCAGATTGATGTCAACAGTCTCCTACCATTAGACCCCACATGTGCTGCACTACAAATGCATCAGTTTCACATCTCATCACATAACTGTGCTTGATTAGGAAGAACACACCACACCATAAAAATGCAAACAAGCAGCATGAAAAATAGTATATTACTCTGCCCTAATTTTCCCGAGTTTTTTTTTTCTTTTTTTTACTTGTTGACAACCAAACGGACTTCACATTTGGATGTCCTCAAAGAAACCACCCGTGACTGTGCTATGAAATAAAAAATAAGGAGCTCATTCTCTTCTCACCTTCCCTCATGATTAACACCGATAACAGATCCTGTCTCTTATGTTTTGTTGCGATGATGAGCTGCTCTGTCTCCCTTCATGTTCTTTGTTAGGAGTTTTCTAGAGGTAAGGTTCTAGATGCTTTCACACACACACATACAGACACACACACACAAATTCTTATTAATTCCTTTATTTTGTGCTACTTCCTCCTGCTGCAATGACCCAATTTCTCCAACGATATCTTTTATGTTCTTGCATACAGTACATCCTGTTATAGTCATTCCTTTTGCATGACTGTGACAACGTGTGTTTTATAAATTTGTGGGATGTGAAATGTCTTCCAAATACGCCGAACTGGGTCTTGTATAGGGAGGCTGAGTTACCCTGGTTTCATAACCAAGTAATGACAAGCTTACCAGAGAGCCTGTGATGCATGACTCATAAAGATATGATTTTTGAAATGCTAATGAGGTGAAGATTATACAGAGTGGAAGAGCAAGATAGAGTGTGGAAGAGTGAGATGGAGGCAGTAAAACAGAGGGAGAGGTTCTCAGTATCTTGGTGGGCTGGAGCTGACAGTCACAGTTTCCTACTGAATGTATAATAATCCCTCTTTATACGCTTTAGTATTTCATGACTTTGCAATGAGTCAGAAGGAAAGAGAGAGTTAGAGTTTAGGCAGTAAAGCCTGCTGCCCTGTGAGGATGCGCTTCTTACTTTTTCTCCATCTCTCTTTCTCTCATCACTGTGTTATTTTTCCTCTGGTGCAGCAAAAAAAAAGGGCTAAACAAGGTTAAAGAAAAGGCCAAACACATGGACACAGTTAATCTTCCTCCTGTCACACGGGTTCCTCCAGGAGAGACTCAATTATCTCTATAGAATACACTACTAACAACCAGTATCTTCTGCATCGGTGGTTGATATCCCTTGTCATGTGGACAGATGAGGTTTTACTTTAAAAAGCTGCATGGGGGTAAAATTAGAGCGATGCTATCTGACTGAAGCCAGATCAGCAGGGCTATTGAGCCTCTCAGTACAAGCGCAGAGCAAGAATTTATTTTAGTAAATGTGCTATCAGTCCTCACACTGTCCGTCTTATCTTCTAACCATTCTTCATCCCGCTCTGCCCTTGTTTCTTCCCCCATCTTACATATCCTCTTTTTTTTATCTTCCCTGTTCACTCCAATATAAATTTTTATCCTCTGTCATCATCCCTCAACCCAATTTACTTCATCTCCTCCCTGCCTCCTTCTCACCCTTTTCCCCTCCATACCACTCTGCTTCTGTCTTTCCCATCTTCTGGCATGTTGTGCTAGTGAAGGTCATTTTAGTGTTAGAGATGGGGGGAGGGGATGATGCAGCTGGATGCAACTGCTGCTCTGGATAGTTACAGGAGGACGGCTGGATGGACGATAAAGGGAAATGTGGAAAAAGAGAGGTATAAAAGATGGAGGGTGTCAGAGACCAAATTTCCTGTGACCTCTGCATCTTGATAAGGACACACTGTGCTATTGTGTATGGCTGCTGCCCACATTGTGCACCAATGCATGTATTTTCTATTTGGTTTCATTGGTGATCCACTGTGATAGTCACCCCTTCATATTACCTCAGTGTCAGCGACTTTTAGTCTTTCCAAAAACAAAAGGATAAATGCGACACACAGTATAGATACCGGCTTTCATCAGAATTAATTTGACAGTTCTAGGTGAAACGTTATCCAATCAGAAGCATTG